CTCAACGAAGAGAAGTGCGAATTCTCTAAAGATCAAATCACTTTCGTCGGTCACGTGATTGACGCGTTCGGTGTGCGACCCGACCCTAGGAAGGTCGAGGCAATCGTTAAGTTTCCAGCCCCTACCAACGTACCAGAAGTGCGTAGATTCTTAGGGATGGTAAACCAATTAGGCAGGTTTACACCAAACCTCGCGCAACACAGTCAACCTATTCGGGAACTGTTACATAAGGACAGTGTGTGGACCTGGGACGATCCACAAATTCAGGCATTTGCCAAGATCAAAGAGGAACTCAGCTCTGAAACCGTGTTAGCGTTGTATGACCCGAAAGCGCCTACCAGAGTATCAGCAGATGCATCATCGTTCCGATTAGGCGCAGTACTTCTCCAGTGCCCTCAAGGTGAGGACAAGTGGAAACCGGTTGCGTACGCGTCGAGAGCGATGAGCGGTACAGAACAACGATACGCGCAAGTAGAAAAGGAAGCGCTCGCGGTCACATGGGCATGTGAAAAGTTTGCGGACTTTCTGATCGGTATGAAGTTCAGCATCGAAACTGACCATAAACCCCTTGTATCGCTGCTTGGAGTAAAAGCAATATCGGAATTGCCTCCGAGGATCCAATGCTTTAGAATGCGACTAATGCGTTACGAGTATGATATCGGACACGTACCGGGAAAATCCCTTCACACGGCCGATGCTCTGTCGAGAGCACCCCTCTGTCAGGTTACAAAGGAGGAAGAGGAATTCCAGTCAACAGTGGAGGCCTATGTGGATTCTGTAATGGAAAGCCTTCCTGCGACTGAGACACGTCTGGACGACATTCGCAGATGTATTCACGACGACAGTGTACTGAGCATAATCGTGGAATATTGTCTAAGCGGTTGGCCAGGGTTCGAAAACCCAGCCATCAATATCGCGACGCGACCTTATTGGCAAATACGCGAGGAACTGACCGTATGTCAAGGATTACTAATGCGCGGAACACGACTGATAATACCGACGACGCTTAGAACAGAACTTCTCCCAAAAGATTCACGAGGGCCATCAAGGTATTGTAAAGTGTCGTGAACGAGCACGAAACTCAATCTGGTGGCCAGGGATAAATCGTGAGATTGAGAACTTGGTGACAAACTGCACAGTGTGTATCAAACACAGATCGGATCATGCCGAGCCCTTAAGGCCAACAGAATTTCCAGAGCGACCGTGGCAAATGGTCGGCTCGGATCTCTTTCACTTAAAGGACGCGGACTACTTACTTGTCGTGGATTACTTCTCGAGATATATCGAGATTGCGAAACTGAAGTCGACCACGTCACAGGCCATAGTGACCCAACTTCAGTCTATCTTTGCACGACACGGTATCCCGGAAACCATAGTTACGGATAACGGTCCCCAGTATGCAAGTGCGATATTTAAGAAATTCGCGACAGAATATGGGTTTCGCCATAACCCCAGCAGTCCGTATTACCCTCAAGGTAACGGTGAGGCTGAGAGAGCGGTCCAAAGTATCAAGCGAATGATAAGACACGCGAACGACCCGTATCAGGCGTTACTCGCCTATCGTGCTACGCCACTTAAGTACGGCTACAGCCCAGCAGAACTGTTGATGGGCAGAAAGTTGCGCACAACTTTGCCAGAAAACCCCAAAAACCTTACACCGGAGTGGCCAGATTTGGCTAAGGTTCGCGAAAAGGAGACGCGGGACAGAATGACTCAAAAACAAAACTTTGACATTTCTCGTCATGCCAGACCTCTACCTAAACTCGAGTCAGGTCAGACTGTGTGGGTAAGAGGTCATGGAGGCGGGTTCAGTGGAACGGTGAAGTCAACTGCCGGTAATGACAGATCTTAACTGATAGAGACACCACGTGCACCCGGACACATGGTGAGGAGGAACAGACGGCATTTAGTGTCCGCTCCTAATCTAATCATGGAACCTTCAGAATCACAAGACATTGAGTGTGAGACATTTACAAACATGTGTACTAGCCCGAGTGTACTAGTTAGGTCACCAGTCAGGCATACAGACCATCCAACAACACCAAAAGTCAGTGTTCAAACCCAGCACCATAGTTCTACTCCAGATAGGGTTATAACATATACTCGATCAGGTCGAGCTTCCAAACCAGTTAACAAGATGAACTTGTAGACTAGTTGCAGTACTTCGGTTCGAACAATGTTACAGTTTAGTAGTTTAGTAACTTTACTAGTCAATGTGTTTACTAGTCAGTTTGAGTTTATAATAGTTAGATTGGTCAGTTATACATCCATTGCAGTATTTGTAGAAGGAATCTACCTAATAAGTAAGGGAGATGTAGTGTTAGCCATATATACATAATTATATGATACAGACTATAGGCGGACTATTGCGAGTCTACTATGAAACAGACTATAATGTTATGTACTGATTATTGTGTATTGTGTACTACGTCACGAGAATTGAATAAAGCATGGCTTGACCCAACCACATGCGTTATCTCTGTGTCACGAACAACAGTAGGGCGAATACAACTTACAACAAAAATGTCAATTAAACCGTAATACGGAATTAAAATCGATAAAACTTATGAACAAATGAAATGTTTACATCTGAACCGTTGAAAAACTACAAGGAAATGCGACCAGAGATTCCGGAAGGGTAAGCGTCTTCTGCTTCATCGACGTGTAATGATGTATGAATTCCGGATATTTAGTCAGTCATATTCCCGTAACTACTAGTCCGCCTAATTGGCTCTATTATTAGTAACTGCAAAAGTACATGTCAGAGTTATACACTCCAGTGCTCATGAATAAATCACAACTTGAAGATTTATACTGATTATTACAGACGAAAGAAGACATTTAAATCGTATTCAGAGCTAGGTAATGTCACGTCCTCAAATCAATAAAACGGAATCACAAGGCACATTAGATAGCGTTACCAAAAACATAGGCCTTCAAAATGCAAAGGAAGTGGATATTCATATGAGTATATATATCAATACATTTTGATTTTTTGATTTTGTTATTTTTTTCAGTTAGTTATTGGGACCAAAGTCTTCATAAGCTTGCATCAGTCGAAATAGTGTGTGGTAAGGTTGTCCGTCAGAGGAGGACGTCTATCATAGAAATCGTCGTAATCAGAGCAAGACATTAATTAACGAATCAACTGCCACGTGTAGAAGCCGTAGGAGAGGAAAACATGCATTTTACTAAAATAAAGTGGGAAAGTTAACGATCGGATAATTCAAATCGTATCGCCTGTCGTAAACCTCTGTAATAAGCCCTCACTGTTGGTCGATAAAGACCGAGGTAAGCGACGGGTATCTAGGGTCAAGCATTTTAAGTTCAATGCTGTATACTATGGACGTCGTCAGTAACTTTCATGACTAATTCGTTAAACTGCTCTGTTTCTGAACATATCCCGGATAAAATTCAAAGAGAAGCAATTCGATGATCAAATTCAACAGCCGGTATCTGTCGGAGCCTTTAGAGAGTCGATTTCTGTCAAGGGACCTGAAGGTGTCGGTCGTGCCGCTGACTGAATCAGTTACCATTGATTGTCTGACAGAACTATCTCAGGACGAAGCCTTCATTTGTCTAATGTCTTTAGATAGGTTACCTTTCAGTTTGTGGTCAAGGTGGTTTTTCATGATATATACGGCCACCCTGGTCTTCCCCGATCCGGTGCCGGCCCAGATTATAGAGTTCTCTCCCCTTAATCCGTCTTGTGCTATTTCTGTCTGGTAACCACGCAAGGAGAAATCTTCGTTTATACCCGGTCCACTCTCCGTCAGAAACATTTGTGCTGTAAAATAAGACGACAACAACAATAAAGTAAGTCAGTCCGCCTTAATGTAACGAGAAAAAAACTGTCCACAGCGGTATGTACCGATTTATTGAACCTAAATCTAATATTTTTTCTGTATATTTGCTGTTCAATAAATATTTAAAAAAAACATGAATTCGTTAATTAATAACCAAACACGCCTGATCTCTCCTCCTCCGCTTCATCACTCGATAAAAAATGATACTCAAATAAGCATGTGATGATGATAGAATTTAAACTCATGTGTTCCGATAGAAAACTTCTTAACTAGTTCCATAAAAATGACGTAGAATCCGCATGTTGTAGCTTTAATTCAATACCTGAACTGTCGCCTGTTTTATTCCCGGTGTTGATGATATCACCCGAGGGTTCCGGGGAGTTCTCTGTGTTAATGGTAACGTCCGAGGGTTTCGAGAAGTTTTTTGTGTTGATGATATCGTCCGAGAATTCCGGAGAGTTCTGTATAACGTGTGGTTTGAAACCACTATATTCAAGTTCTTGTTCTACAACGAAACAGCGGGATAGTAACACAGCATTGCTTTATTTGATCAGAAAACGTTCTGTCGAATATCACAGACCCCTCGCCTTAAATACATACACCATTATATTAACATATTTGACAAAATAAGGAGGATGTAATTATTTGAGAGATAATTTTCCCCAGTCTTTTATTAAATTATTTAGGGAATTCCCATAAAAAGTAGTTCCGGCTAGTAGGTAAATACAACATTCCGTATTGCACATGTGCAATACAGAACGTTGTATGTCATGGTCTGAAATTGCTTGTATTACTATAACAAGATTCAACAGGCATGTGTTAAAAATAAAATCATTTCTTGGATTGTAAACTTCACAATTGTCATAAAGCTAGATACGTATTATACAGAAACCTCTCCATTACACATCATTAAGTGTCAATGTATAAACAGACCCACACCGGAAGTACGTCAAGAACAAACTTAGAGTCACTGTGATATGTACATTATACATAGTACTTATCTTCAAGGTCACCTGTCAGTATTGGCCTTGTTTACCTGTAATGCAGTACTCGTCCTCCAGTTCCTCTGCCAGTGTAGTCATATCTTCGTCCCTTAAAGCTTTCAGCAACTGTTTCGTCCTTGTAAAGTATGATTCATTCTTGTTTTCTATGTTCCACCTGTCCAGGCCATCCTTAATCTTATCCTCTAAATCTCGATGGTTGTGATTGATATGATCTATGTCAACTTTAGTCAGCCGTAGACGTAGCAGCAAGTTGTCCCAACCTTTCCCGATCTTTTTTGGTAGAACCGCCATTAATGACAAGTCCGAGAAAAGCTCAGCCACTGAAACAGTTAGTCACAAGTTGAACAAGTACTAATTATAATGGAAACAAATTACAAAAGTCCCCCAAACTACCCTAGTAATCGATGAGGCAAGTGTCAATCACAGAACGATAACTCACAGTAGAGTTTGCAGTGACACAATATCGACCAAACAGAAGCCAGTAAAGGGCGGCCGTATTGTCCAAACGCAAAACTGTTGCATTCAGGTTCACAGTGCCATGATACAAATATATACTAAATTTGAGCGAAATCAGAAACTCCAGCCTACAAACAAGCTTTAAATGTTCTACTTCCGCAGATCAGCTGATTTTGTTAAAAACGAAGATAGATAACTAGAATCTTACAATAACCAACTCTTGGTATTCCTTTCATTTTTGAAAAATGATCTTATTTGATTTTTTTTAGCATTAAACAACGCATATTATATATTTCAAAAAGTTTATGTCCGCACCATTTCAAATCATCGGTCACTATAGTAACCATCCAGGGCACTCGTCGGCCGGGTGCTTGAATGTACTGTTTACCAATAAAACCTGCAGATGTAAATGATGATAAGTTGGTGGATGAAGTGCCCTTTGTTATTACAAAGTTCTCTATGAGTTTAATGGGCAATTTGATGTCAAGGGGATTACCCAGCCGGACGTTTGGGACCAGGGTGTTAGAAAGTTCGTGACCACGAGGAACCGATTGCGAGTCGGAAGTCAGTATCTAATATGACATTGTTATAAGTATTTTTTTAATTTTTAAATTAGAAAGAATACTAATAATAGTACAATGATGTACCATTCATGATTTTTGTAATGTTTATTATTATTTCTCGCAACTACGTTATCTCGGAGAAGGGGAGATAACTATTCTCAGAAACGGTAGTATGCGTAGTAATATAAAGTGGTCATTGTATGTGAAATCAGCTGACTGGTTGCACGATCATCGTTGTATTCATAGTGTATTCATAGTCTTATGGCAGTTGTTTTCAGTTGGTAAATTCATATACAGAACACACTTCAAGAATGTAAATATAAATGAATGCACAGAACATATTCAAGTTCACTCATATGAAGGCAGTGAGGATTACACTAAGGACATCGATCCGTGGACCACAGCCGCTTTGATAGCCGTCGGCATCGGAGGAGCTGTCCGACCTTGGAGCGTGACCTGGAAGTGCCTAGGACACTAGAATCTCAGAGGGCCTGGTAAACGGCAACTTACGCCTCACGTCGGCCGCCACACAGACTACCGTAACTTACCCTCCACGTCCGCCGCCACACAGACTACCGTAACTTACCCGCTCACGTCGGCCGACACACAGACTACCGTAACTTACCCCCCACGTCGGCCGCCACACAGACTACCGTAACTTACCCCTCACGTCGGCCGCCACACAGACTACCGTAACTTCCCCCTCACGTCAGCCGCCACACAGACTACCGTAACTTACCCGCTCACGTCGGCCGACACACAGACTACCGTAACTTCCCCTCACGTCGGCCGCCACACAGACTATCGTAACTTACCCCTCACGTCGGCCGCCACACAGACTACCGTAACTTACCCCTCACGTCGGCCGCCACACCGACTACCGTAACTTACCCCTCACGTCGGCCGCCACACAAATTACCGTTACTTACCCCCTTACGTCGGCCGCCACACAGACTACCGTAACTTACCCGCTCACGTCGCCCGACACACAGACTACCGTAACTTCCCCTCACGTCGGCCGCCACACAGACTATCGTAACTTACCCCTCACGTCGGCCGCCACACCGACTACCGTAACTTACCCCTCACGTCGGCCGCCACATAGACTACCGTAACTTACCCCTCACGTCGGCCGCCACACAAATTACCGTTACTTACCCCCTTACGTCGGCCGCCACACAGACTACCGTAACTTACCCGCTCACGTCGCCCGACACACAGACTACCGTAACTTCCCCTCACGTCGGCCGCCACACAGACTACCGTAACTTACCCTCCACGTCGACCGCCACACAGACTACCGTAACTTACCCCCCACGTCGGCCGCCACACAGACTACCGTAACTTACCCCTCACGTCGGCCCCCACACAAATTTCCGTTACTTACCCCCTTACGTCGGCCGCCACACAGACTACCGTAACTTACCCCCTTACGTCGGCCGCCACACAGACTACCGTAACTTACCCTTCACGTCGGCCGCCACACAGACTACCGTAACTTTCCCGCTCACGTCGGCCGCCACACAGACTACCGTAACTTACCCTTCACGTCGGCCGCCACACAGACTACCGTAACTTCCCCCTCACGTCGGCCACCACACAAATTACCGTTACTTACCCCCTTACGTCGGCCGCCACACAGACTACCGTAACTTACCCCTCACGTCGGCCACCACACAAATTACCGTTACTTACACCTTACGTCGGCCGCCACACAGACTACCGCCAGTGAAAGGAAGACGATAAACCCACCAACCAANCCCCTCACGTCGGCCGCCACACAGACTACCGTAACTTACCCGCTCACGTCGGCCGCCACACAGACTACCGTAACTTACCCCTCACGTCGGCCGCCACACAAACTACCGTTACTTACACCTTACGTCGGCCGCCACACAGACTACCGCCAGTGAAAGGAAGACGATAAACCCACCAACCAACTAGCCAAACCTAGTGGGGTTTTCCGGATTAAAACAGATCCAAGTTAGATATCTTAATTTGCCAGAATTGAAACTATAAGCTTTGATTTTACTATTGGTCACAGGGACAAGTACGCTGTATCTCTATATAAAGCTGATATTTCATAGTACACAGACATGTTGTATATAAACTTAATATTAGCTAAGTACTGGTATATCAGACCGGCGTAAGGCGGAAGCGACACTTGATTCTGTTACTTGCTGGTATGTATTCACGTGTAGATTTTCCTGGGTTGACAGTTGCAATGTTAATAAAGGTATCCTTTCACTTGTCACGGTTCTATGAACACAGTACGTTTGACCAGTTGTCTATCAATATAATTATCAAATAAACAATGTTTGCTCTGTGTATTGTGTTGTGTTGTGTTTTGTCTGTGTGTGTATGTCTGTCTAGTGATATGCAATATCAAATACCTAAATATATATAACTCCTGGCCTAACGTGTCATTAACGTTAGCCTCACTACACACTTATATAGATATAACTGCTAACCTAACGTGTCATTAAGGTTAGCCTCACCACACGCTTATATAGATATAACTGCTGACCTAACGTGTCATTAACATTAACCTCACCACACACTTATATAGGTATAACTGCTCACCAAACGTGTCATTAACGTTAGCTTCACCACACACTTATATAGATATAACCCCTGACCTAACAGGTCATTAACGTTAGCCCTACCACACATTATATAGTTATAAACCCTGACCTAACGTGTCATTAACGTAAGTCTCACCACACACTTATATAGATATAACTGCTGACCTAACGTGTCATTAACGTAAGTCTCACCACACACTTATATAGATATAACTGCTGACCTAACGTGTCATTAACATAAACCTCACCACACACTTATATAGATATAACTGCTCACCTAACGTGTCATTAACGTAAGTCTCACCACACACTTATATAGATATAACTGCTGACCTAACGTGTCATTAACGTTAGCTTCACCACACACTTATATAGATATAATCCCTGACCTAACGTGTCATTAACGTTAGCCTCACCACACACTTATATAGATATAACTGCTCACCTAACGTGTCATTAACATAAACCTCACCACACACTTATATAGATATAACTGCTGACCTAACGGGTCATTAACGTTAGCTTCATCCCACACTTATATAGATATAACCGCTCACCTAACGTGACATTAACGTTAGCCTCACCACACACTTATATAGATATAATCCCTTACCTACCGTATCATGAACATAAACCTCACCACACACTTATATAGATATAAATGCTCACCTACCGTATCATGAACATAAACCTCACCATACACTTATATAGATATAACTGATCACCTAACGTGTCATTAACATTACCCTCACCACACACTTATATAGGTATACCCCCTGACCTAACGGGTAATTAACGGTAGCCCTACCACATACTTATATAGATATAACCCCTGACCTAACATGTCATTAACATTAACCTCCCCACACACTTATATAGATATAACTGCTGACGTAACGTGTCATTAACGTTAGCCTCACAACACACTTATATAGATATAACTCCGGACCTTACGTGTCATTAACGTTAGCCTCGCCACACACATATATAGATATAACTCCGGTCCTTAACGTTAGCCTCACCACACACATATAAAGATATAACTCCGGACCTTAACGGTAGCCCCACCACACACATATATAGATATAACCCCTGACCTAACTTGTCATTAACGTTAGCCTAACCACACACTTATATAGATATAATCCCTGAGCTAACATGTCATTAACATTAACCTCACCACTCACTTATATAGGTATATCCCCTGACCTAACGGGTCATTAACGGTAGCCCTACCACATACTTATATAGATATAACTGCTCGCCAAACGTGTCATTAACGTTAGCTTCACCACACATTTATATAGATATAACCCCTGGCCTAACGTGTCATTTACCTACCGTATCATGAACATAAACCTCCCCACACACTTATATAGATATAACCACTGACCTAACGGGTCATACCACACACTTATATAGATATAACCACTGACCTAACGGGTCATACCACACACTTATATAGATATAATCCCTGAGCTAACATGTCATTAACATTAACCTCCCCACACACTTATATAGATATAACCGCTCACCAAACGTGTCATTAACGTTAGCTTCACCACACATTTATATAGATATAACCCCTGGCCTAATGTGTCATTTACGTAAGCCTCACCACATACTTATATAGATATAACCCCTGACATAACTTGTCATTAACGTTAGCCTAACCACACACTTATATAGATATAAATGCTCTCCTACCGTATCATGAACATAAACCTCCCCACACACTTATATAGATATAACTGCTGACCTAACGTGTCATTAACGTAAGCCTCACCACACACTTATATAGATATAAATGCTCACCTCCCGTATCATGAACATAAACCTCACCATCCACTTATATAGATATAACTGATCACCTTACGTGTCATTAACATTAACCTCACCACGCACTTATATAGGTATAACCCCTGACCTAACGGGTAATTAACGGTAGCCCTACCACATACTTATATAGATATAACTGCTCAACAAACGTGTCATTAACGTTAGCTTCACCACACATTTATATAGATATAACCCCTGGCCTAATGTGTCATTTACGTAAGCCTCACCACATACTTATATAGATATAACTGCTCGCCAAACGTGTCATTAACGTTAGCTTCATCACACACTTATATAGATATAACCCCTGACATAACTTGTCATTAACGTTAGCCTAACCACACACTTATATAGATATAACCCTTGACCTAACGTGTCATTAACCTTAGCCTCACCACACAGTTATATAGATATAACTGCTGACCTACCGTATCATGAACATAAACCTCCCCACACACTTATATAGATATAACTGCTGACCTAACGTGTCATTAACGTAAGTCTCCCCACACACTTATATAGATATAACCCCTGGCCTAATGTGTCATTTACGTAAGCCTCACCACACACATATATAGACATAACCCCTGATTTAACGTGTCATTTACGTAAGCCTCACCACATACTTATATAGATATAACTGCTCGCCAAACGTGTCATTAACGTTAGCCTCACCACACAGTTATATAGATATAACTGCTCACCTAACGTGTCATTAACATTAACCTCCCCACACACTTATATAGGTATAACCCCTGCCCTAACGGGTCATTAACGTTAGCCCTGCCACATACTTATATAGTTATAAACCCTAACCTAACGTGTCATTAACGTTAGCTTCATCACACACTTATATAGATATAACCACTGACCTAACGGGTCATACCACACACTTATATAGATATAACCCCTGACATAACTTGTCATTAACGTTAGCCTAACCACACACTTATATAGATATAAACCCTTCCCTACCGTATCATGAACATAAACCTCCCCACACACTTATATAGATATAACCACTGACCTAACGGGTCATTAACGTTAGCCCTACCACATACTTATATAGATATAAACCCTGACCTAACGTGTCATTAACGTTAGCTTCACCACACATTTATATAGATATAACCCCTGACCTAACATGTCATTAACATTAACCTCACCACGCACTTATATAGGTATAACCCCTGACCTACCGGGTCATTAACGTTAGCCCTACCACATACTTATATAGTTATAAAGCCTGACCTAACGTGTCATTAACGTAAGTCTCCCCACACACTTATATAGATATAACTGCTGACCTAACGTGTCATTAACGTAAGTCTCACCACACACATATATAGATATAACTCCGGTCCTTAACGTTAGCCTCACCACACACATATATAGATATAACCCCTGACCTAACTTGTCATTAACGTTAGCCTAACCACACACTTATATAGATATAACTGCTGACCTAACGTGTCATTAACGTAAGTCTCCCCACACACTTATATAGATATAACTGCTGACCTAACGTGTCATTAACGTAAGTCTCCCCACACACTTATATAGATATAACCACTGACCTAACGGGTCATACCACACACTTATATAGATATAACTGCTGACCTAACGTGTCATTAACGTAAGTCTCCCCACACACTTATATAGATATAAATGCTCTCCTACCGTATCATGAACATAAACCTCCCCACACACTTATATAGGTATAACCCCTGACCTAACGGGTCATTAACGTTAGCTTCATCCCACACTTATATAGATATAACCGCTCATCTAACGTGACATTAACGTTAGCCTCACCACACACATATATAGATATAACTCCGGACCTTAACGTTAGCCTCACCACACACATATATAGATATAACCCCTGATTTAACGTGTCATTTACATAAGCCTCACCACACACATATATAGATATAACCCCTGATCTAACGTGTCATTTACTTGAGCCTCACCACACACATATATAGATATAACCCCTGATCTAACGTGTCATTTACGTAAGCCTCACCACATACTTATATAGATATAACCCCTGGCCTAACGTGTCATTTACGTAAGCCTCACCACACACTTATATAGATATTACTGGTCACCTAACGTGTCATTAACGTTAGCCTCACTACACACTTATATAGATATAACCACTGACCCAACATGTCATTAACATAAACCTCACCACACACTTATATAGATATAACTGCTGACGTAACGTGTCATTAATGTTAGCCTCACCACACACTTATATAGATATTACTGCTGACCTAACGTGTCATTTACGTAAGCCTCACTACACACTTATATAGATATAACCCCTGACCTAACGTGTCATTAACATAAACCTCCCACACACTTATATAGATATAACTGCTGACCTAACGTGTCATTAACGTTAGCCTCACCACACACTTATATAGATATAACTGCTGACGTAACGTGTCATTAACGTTAGCCTCCCCACACACTTATATAGATATAACTGCTGACCTAACGTGTCATTAACGTTAGCCTAACCACACACTTATATAGATATAACTGCTGACGTAACGTGTCATTAATGTTAGCCTCACCATACACTTATATAGATATAACTGCTGACCCAACATGTCATTAACATAAACCTCACCACACACTTATATAGATATAACTGCTAACCTAACGTGTCATTAACGTTAGCCTCACCACACAGTTATATATATATAACTGCTGACATAACGTGTCATTAATGTTAGCCTCACCACTCACTTATATAGATATAACTGCTGACCTAACGTGTCATTAACGTTAGCCTCAGCACACACTTATATAGATATAACCCCTGACCTAAGGTGTCATTAACGTTAACCTCACCACACACTTATATAGATATAACTGCTGACATAAAGTGTCATTAACGTTTGCCTCACCACACATTTATATAGATATATCCCCTGGTCTAACGTGTCAGTAACGTAAGCCTCACCACACACTTATATAGATCTATCCCCTGGTCTATCGTGTCAGTAACGAAGGTCTCACCACATACTCGTTTACTTTGACACAGCCCTGTGTACCGCGTCACCGGAATGTTCTGAGTCGTGAAAGCTGCCGTTCATTTGTAACCTGTATGCTACTTACATTGTTATGTTCTTTCGTCCTACTCACCTGGTTTTTTTCCTGTCGCCATTTTACAGAACGCTACTAATAGTTATACTGAATCATTTTCGGTTTCGATATCTTCTGCTTTCTGAAAATACACCACCATACCGCAAGTAACTAACTATGCACACTTGTAAACTATATATAGAATACGGGACACGTACTTACCGATGTATTACACCAGACAAAATGTGCAGTGTCCTATATATTGATAACCACAACCGCCTTGTATATATTAATCAATTTGACCCGGTACAACCTGTATTTCCGTATAGCGTGGTTTCAACAGAACTGAAAAGCAAGCTTAAGTTGAATACGAAACGCGAGTGCTCAATCGTTACACTGTTATCTGCAAGTGAGTTCTGTATTTGAACGATGCTGGACGCTATATCACAATGGCTTGGATAAAATAAAAGCATTCAAGACACATGGATTGTGATTTTGATATCTCATCTTTATTTCCTCCAAATTGGAGAGCATGATACAACGATTATACATGAATAATACATTATTTACTAAATGACAACAGAAAAAAATGTTTATGTAGAGAAGGACAGAAAAGGATTTGTTTATTTTGGAGAAAGGACTGAAAGGGATTGGTTTATGTAGAGAAACGACAAAAAGGGATTTGTTTATGTAGAGAAAGGACAGAAAGGGATTTGTTTACTTAGAGAAAGGACAGAAAAGGATTTGTTTATGTAGAGAAAGGGATTTATTTATGTAAAGAAAGGACAGAATAAAATTTGTTAATGTAGAGAAAGGACAGAAAGGGAGTTGTTTATGTAGAATAAAGGACAGAATAGGATTTGTTTATGTAGAGAAATGACAAAGGGATTTTCTTATGCAGAGAAAGGGACCGAAAAAGACTTGTTTATGTAGAAAAGGACCGAAAAGGATTTGTTTATGTAGCGAAAAGACGAAAAGGGATTAGTCAGGGCCCCGTATCGGAGATACTTATAAAAACCTGTTCTTTATGTTATTATGAAGCAGAGTTGTTAAAAACTTTACACGGAGTTAACTGACCAAAGGTCCAGGTTACGGGGTCTAAAGGTTCAAGGTCAAGGTCAAGGTTTGTAATTTTCACTTATGAACGTTTTGTTATGATATCATGAAGCAAAGTCGGTCGGAATTAAAAAATAAGTCAACTGATCGAAGATCAGGGTCACTGGTTTAGGGGTCAAGGTAATTTTGGTACAAAGGTCAAAGACAAAGTGATGTATGACTTTGACCCTGGCTCTTGATAGGAAAGGTACTTAAGGTGAAATAAAACAAATCAAAGCTAACAAATGAGTAATGCACCGGTATTAATACTTCTGTTAGCCCACCAAATATGTCAAACGTCAAGCTCAGCTATATGGGCAGATTGCTTCTTGATGATTATGGGGGCTATATTGCAACAGGACGGGGGCCTTATTGACCTGTCAGTGTTTTAGTTTTTTAAGAGAAAGAATAGAAATGGATTTGTTTAAGCAGAAAAAGGGACAGAAAATGACTTGTTTATGTAATGAAAGGACAAAAAACGGATTTGTTTTTGCAGAAAAAGTGACAAAAAGAGATTTTGTTTATGTAGAAAAAGGACAGAAAGGATTTGTTTACGTAGAGAAAGGACAGAAAAGGTCTTGTTTATGCAGAGAAAGAACAGAAAGGGATTTTTTAATGTAGAGAAAGGGATTAGTTTACGCAAAGAAGGGGACAGAAAGGGACAGAACATGATTTGTTTATGTAGAGAAAGGAGAGAAAGGAATTTATTAATGTAGAAAAGAGAAATAATGGGATTTGTTTATGTATAGAGAAAGGAACAGGAAGGGATTTGTTTATGTAGAAAAAGGACAGAAAGGGATTTGTTTATGTAGAGAAAGGAAAGAAAATGATTTGTTTATGTAAAGAAAGGACATAAAGGGATTTGTTTATGTAGCGATAGAACAAAAATGGATTTGTTTATGTAGAGAATGAATAGGAAGGGATTTATTTATGTAGAAATAGGACAGAAACGGATTTGTTTACGTAGAGAAAGGACAGAAAAGGACTTCTTTATGCAGAGAAAGAACAGAAAGGGATTTTTTGATGGAGAGAAAGGGATTAGTTTACGCAAAGAAAGGGACAGAAAGGGACAGAAATGATTTGTTTATGTAGAGAAAGGACAGAAGGGGATTTGTTTATGTAGCGAAAGAACAAAAATGGAGTTGTTTATGTAGAGAATGGATAGGAAGGGATTTATGTATGTACAGAAAGGGACAGAAAGGGATTTGTTTACGTAGAGAAAGGGCAGAAAAGGATTTGTTTATGTAGAGAAAGAGCAGAAAAAGATATGTTTACGTGAAGAAAGGGACAGAAAAGGAATTGTTTGCTTAGAGAAAGTTCATAAAGGATTTTGTTTATGTAGAGAAAGGACATAAAGGGATTTGTTTATGTAACGAAGGAACAAAAATGGATTTGTTAATGTAGAGAAATGACAGGAAGGGATTCGTTTATGTAGAAAAACGAGAGAAAGGGATTTACGAATGTAGAGAAAGAGACAGAAAAGGACCTGTTTACGTAGAGAAGGACTGAAAGGGTTTTGTTTATGTAGAGAAAGGGACAGAAAGGGATTTGTTTAATTAGAAAAAGGGCAGAAACGGATTTGTTTACGTACAGAAAGGGACAGATAAGGCTTTTTTTACGTAGAGAAATGACATAAAGTGATATGTTTATGCAGAGCAAGAGACAGAAAAGGACTTGTTTACGTAGAGAAAGTGCAGTAAAGGATTTGTTTATGTAGAGAAAGGGATTTGTTTACATAGGGAAGGGACAGAAAGAGAATTGTTTATGAAGAGAAAGGGATTGGTTAATGTAGAAAAGGGATAAAAAGGGATTTGTTTATGTAACGAAAGGGCAGATAGGGATTTGTTTATGTAGAGAAAAGGATTTGTTTACGTAGAGAAAGTGCAGAAAAGGACTTGTTTACGTAGAGGGAGTACAGAAAGTGATTTGTTCATGTAAAGAAATGACATAAAGGGATTTGTTTACATAGAGAAAGGACAGAAAGGGATTTGTTTATTAACTGAAAGGACAGAAAGTGATTTGTTTATGTAGAGAAAGGACTGAAAAGGATTTATTAATATAGAAAAGAGAAAGAATGGGACTTATTTGTGTAGAGGAAGAAAAAAAAAAGGATTTTTTCATGAAGAGAAAGGGATTTGGTTATGTAGGGAAAGGACAGAAAAAGATTTGTTTATGAAGAGAAAGGGATTTGGTTATATAAGGAAAAGATAGAAAAGGGATTTATTTATGTAGGGAAAGGGATTTGTTTGCGCAGGAAAGGGACAGAAAGAGAATTGTTTATGCAGAGAAAGAACAGAAAGGGATTTTTTAATGTAGAGAAAGGGATTAGTTAACGCAAAGAAAGGGACAGAAAGGGACAGAACAAGATTTGTTTATTTAGAGAAAGGAAAGAAAGGAATTTATTAATGTAGAAAAGAGAAATAATGGGATTTGTTTATGTATAGAGAAAGCGACAGGAAGGGATTTGTTTATGTAGAAAAAGGACAGAAAGGGATTTGTTTATGCAGAGAAAGGAAAGAAAATGATTTGTTTATGTAAAGAAAGGACATAAAGGGATTTGTTTATGTAGCGAAAGAACAAAAATGGATTTGTTTATGTGGAGAATGAATAGGAAGGGATTTATTTATGTAGAAATAGGACAGAAACGGACTTGTTTACGTAGAGAAAGGACAGAAAAGGACTTATTTATGCAGAGAAAGAACAGAAAAGGATTTTTTGATGGAGAGAAAGGGATTAGTTTACGCAAAGAAAGGGACAGAAAGGGACAGAAATGATTTGTTTATGTAGAGAAAGGACAGAAGGGGATTTGTTTATGTAGAGAAAGGAAAGAAAATGATTTGTTTATGTAAAGAAAGGACATAAAGGGATTTGTTTATGTAGCGAAAGAACAAAAATGGATTTGTTTATGT